GCATGGAAACTAAGATTATTTGTGCATGATTACTATAAGCAAAATGGCCTTTTCCTGCCTAATTTGCAGGAAAGTGGGGGATTAATGATCATGTGAGACTTGGAATGACACTTGAGTATCTTGCTTACAGATTGCCAGCCAGGGCTGCTGCAGCTCTTTATCTTCTGAGATCAATGGAGGAGGCTTTAGCCAAGTGATTCTGAGCCCCTTGGATTAGCTTATGAATAAGCTGGGGAAAGGAAAATGAGACCTTGAAGTATAGAATTGTTCACTTCAACCCATAGGTGCCCCTTGGATGGAAATATTCATACATCTCGTAAGTGCTCTATGTAGTAATGAAATGAGGCATTCAGTTACTTTTTTTCTCCTAATTGGATATGCCATTAACATAAATGCAAAATATACTTAAATATAATTGTAACATACTTTTCTGGAAAGAATAAGTGAAAACTGTACAAGTCAGCAAAGATTTAGGCATCTAGTTCAATGTAATTATGCAGTTGGTCTCTTATTTAGGCAACACTTGCCCTCTACATAAGCCTACAAATTTCTTTATATATGCTATGGAAAATGATAGTCATTAGGGTTGGAAAGCCTCTGGTCCAACCTTCAATCCATCACCACCATACCACTAAGCCATGTCACTCAATGCAACATCCTACCCCTTTCTTGAGCACCTCCAGGGACGATGACTGCATGGTGGTAATTCACACCATGACTGTCTTTTATGCTGAGTGTTCAGTTTAAAAGGACTAGTTTATCTGGCAAAAATTCCTCTATTTTTTGCAAACACCAAACAAGTAATTCTCTTGAGGAATATCTCAGAGGGAGTAAACATTTTTTATGTCTATCCCTCTAGTGTGATTCTTTGTCTCCAGGTATTTTGCTAGCTTTCTGCTTGAACTTTGTGGGGGAGCTGATGGGATGTGATGATCCTCAGGGACTTGTGATCTGTTTGGGTTGATATTGAATTTAGGTATTTATCCTGGGGCTGTATTTGTTTGGATGAATTAATTTAAAAGTTGTGTCAGTGCAAACACACATCGGGAATTTCATTTTCTAGAACATTAATAAGAGAATGTATGAAGCCAGACTAATTCATATCTTCATTCAAGCAAATACTCAGGTAATATGTTTGAGCAAATGCCTTAACACTGAATTTGACATATACCGAGGGACTGATACTCAGATTCTCCTCACAGTTTGCAAAGCTGCCATAGCACTATATATACTCTGAATAACCAGCAAGGACATGTATTAAGTGTATTGAAATGAAATAGAGTTGAAATTGTGCTGCTTCCAACAGCTGCTGCAGCAACAACTTATTTACAGAACAGGAGGAAATGTTTCTAAGCTATCGCCTTTCCTACCAGCACCAAGAGCTCTGAACTCATTCTGAAGCACTGAAATAGGTCAGTGTGTTCAATAGACTGAAGAGGGGCTGAAATTCTCTGACTTTGGGTCTGGCCTGGTTAAGCAAGCCAGTGGGAATTCATTGACTTCCATTGACTTGAAGTACAGCACTGAGCACTGAGCTATGGCAAAAAGCAGAATAGCAGAATGGGTTTATCACTGAGCAGATTGTTTTTGTTCTTCTATTTTCCTGTACTGTTTTGACATGTCTTTAACCTGATGTGGGGATCGGATAGCAAAATGCAAAGAGAGGGTTTATCAGGCACCTCTCTCACCAGGTCTTGGCCCTGTCCTGCAGAGCATTGCTGCCAAAGGGGCAGGAGCTCCTTGAAAAGGGATGGAGCACACTGCTCAGGTGCTGCATTGCAGACCCCCGTCTCCCTGCTGTGCTTCTCCCCCATGGAATGGGGATTGCAGCATTGCCTGTCCTTGCAGCTAAGGTGAAAGGGTCAGGGAATTTGAGACTAAGGTAATTGGTGACAAATAATTGCCTGATATAGACATAGCTTCCCCTTCTCTCATGCCCCCTATTTACACAAAGCATTCAAAAGACCTTTATTTTTCTTTGTGTTACTCTGGAACCTAGTCTGTAGTGTTTATCGACAGAAAAGCAATCATAGCAACAGACTGCGGGAGGAAAATTTGATTATACTTATTTATTACACCAGGATTTTCATTATTTTGCAAAAAATACAAAGGCTTTCTCACACTTACTCATACTCATTTCTTTCTGTGAATTCAGAATTGAATTCAGTTCCTCTCCACTCGGGTAATAGTTTACCGAGCACACTTCAGCTAAACAGAAGGCCAGAGAGGTCTCAAGTTAATTTACTGCCCTGAAGGTACTCATCCTCATGAGCCATAATACTGACAGAACCCTAAAGCAAAGATGAGTCTGCCACTTCTTCCTCCCCAGCCTTCTGGATGATGAGGCACCTAAACCTCCAGTGGGTATGTTAGGAAAATCAGAGTGTGAACAATTACCTCCTTAGAAGCAGGCAAACAGCAGACCCCTACAAATGAAGATGTGGCAGTTTTCCGTGCATCTCAGTTAGAGGAATTTATACTTGCAGCACAATCCTTCCTACTTCATCCTCTGGGCTGTAAGGTTTGCATTTGCCTTGGAAATATTCAAGCCACTTTGTGGAAGTTTTTTTTCTAGTTGGAGATTTCATCTTCACTCTTCTTTCATCTTGTGTTATTTCTTCTTGCTCTTGCTTCATGATAATTCAAAAGGAAATATTTCCATTGAGTGTCCAAATGCTGTTTTAGTCTGCAAAATTTCACCTGACACAGCTGTATTCCTCCACATCTGCACAGACAGTGTGTGAGGGCACTCAAAGCACCAAACCGGATCCAAGGAGAAGGACCTGGCAGCCTGGAAAGGTTTTAGAGGGTGCTGCCAAGTTGTCAGAAAGACTTGGAACAGTTGGGCACCTAAAGTTCAGTGCAGAAACGATTGGTGCAGCCCTTACCCCCTGTGCCAGCCTCCTGAAGGAGGGGTGTGTGAGCCCTATGCAGAGTGCAAGGGCTCTTCAGTCCCACAGAACAGCACAACTGTGGTGCCTTGTCCTCTGCACAGAGACAAGGGATCTGGAATGAGCTCTGTGTGGTGGCATCCTAATGGAAATTCATGTTAATTAAAGAAAACTTGTTCCCATTTAGTAGGAAGCAAATGCTAGTTAGGTTGCAGAATTAACCATGTGGGGCAGACTA